CTTTGTTTGGCTCAACATTTTTCCAGTAATATAATTTAAAAAAAAGGAAAATATCCAGTTTTTTTTTTTTTTTTTTTGCATTCATTCCTTTTTCCTCCTCACCTCTGTGCTTTCTATTTTCTACCTCAAATAGTAAATTTTATAGTACACGAGTAACCGAAATGATTATATTAATGATCGCTAAACAGCGAAAATTCGGAAATAAAGGTATTCTACAGAGTAAAAAAACTTTGAACAGATTCGATGTTCTTCAGTTGGTGCAACTGAATCTCAAAAACTGCGTATGTATCAATAAGTGTTCAACAATTCTATTACTGTTCAACAATCGCCTAAACTTAGATCACTAAACTAACTAACAAATGAGCTAACCTTCTGTATCGGTAACGTATGACCTACCACAATGATTCCACTGCACTGAAAGCAGCTGGAAACCGACATAAAACTGATAACGCATAGTCATTATAAATGTTTGTTAACAAACATTTATGTGTTCACTAACACAGATAAACTTGATACCAAAAAAAGAAGACAGTCTAGTTCAGCAGTACTTTTTCTTTTTATATATTTTTTTTTTCGCCAACAATGTATTCTTTCTATCAGTTAGGAGTTATGAGCAATATGCAGTAATTTTGCAGTGAAAATTGTTAATCAAATCAAGCAAACGATTTGGATTTGAATTGCACTATTTTTCAGGGGTATGGAAAGAGAAAGAAGGGGTAGGGTGAAGAGAGGAAAGCTTTTAGCTTTGGGACATCGACAACAATTCAATTATGAATACTTCAACTTTTGATTGGGTTCTGAAGAATTTTGAAAAAGGACGAGACAAGAGAACAGGAGAAGGAAAAGGGAGGATAGTATTATTTAATGATGGCAATATTTACTACACTGTTATAAACTTCAAAACAAAAAGAATTCCAATTTTTTTCTATTAAACACGGTGACGTAAAGCTGCCGAGGTGAAGGGTAAAGCCAAATAATAATTGATGTCCTAAGTGCCATTGTTGGTAATTTTCAGCTTTTCCCCTGCAGACTGCAAGTGAAAAGCAAGAAACTGGATCATACTCACTGTTTATGTGAAACGTCCAGTTTGACTTTTAACAATTTTTATAGTGATTTCTCAGTAGCTGCGGATAGGAATTCGGCGAAACGAGCTAAATTAATTGCTGGTAGTTCTATGGAAAGGAAAGGAAGCAATATGGGGTGGAATATTGGGATTTTTTATAGCATTGCGGACATGCAACCTGTCCGCACTGCTATTATTCTTACTACCGCTTTAGCTAACTTACCAGTTGGATTGTTGCTAATATTATAGCGTCAATAAATGATTCTATTTTGAGGTAACGATTTTTTCACCATCTTTTTTGTTTTTAATTCATCTGCTGTATTTCTCAATCCAATCTTTTTTGTCTGGCTGAAAAAAAAACGAGCAGCAGCGGTATTGCCAGAAGGAGCAAAAGAAAAAATAGTGACTGCTTATCGATTTCAAAATGAAAAAATATATGTCTCATAAAGTCACTTATCAG